GCACCAAGAAATCGCCTGTTTACATTTCTTGAGAGAAAATTAACCAAGATAACTAAGGCTCGGATTAAATGCACGAAAAATCCGTAAAATATGCGCATATACAGGCTGTATTATGAAAAACGCCCCAAGCCAAGTTATGACAATACTTCTTAGAACAAAGTTGAACATTTTTTGTCATCTATCGTTTAGGATAGATGCTAAATTAATGCTGTTTTCTGTTTCACCGGAAATCACATCAACTTTATTTTTTTTAAATGGAACGCCCTGTATATTTTACCACTTTTGGATTCTTTGCTTAATTGTCTTTTAACAAGTTTTAGTACCATATGCCTAAAACTAACCGTTCGTGAGATATTCACCAAATAATGTATTTATTAAAGTAGGCAGTGGAAAACAATAATATCAAGTAATGTTGACAAATATTATTCCTTTGCATTTTCTCTTACTGTTTTTATACTTTTTAATGTTAATCATGGATGATAATGTGTTACCAGACATATTTTGAATAAAATAAAAATTGTGGGAAAGCACTACGCTTTTACACTGGGTGATTTCTGATGAGAGACGTTCCAAATCGTCGAAAATTTAAGCGACTTAAAGAAAATTTCAGGATGTTTTGGGCTTTTAGAAAACCCAAATTAAAACATCTCCAATTTCAAAGAGATACAGAATTTAGAACATGAATTTAAGAAATTGCAAGTAACGTTGGCTTATCGCACGCAACTGTTCTAATTTAGGTTTTCTAAAAACCCCAAACAACCTCAAATTTTCTTCAGGTCGACGAATTGGAACTTCTCTTATTGGAAATCGCCCAGTGTAAAGGCGTTGTGGTCTCCAACTATTTTTATTGCTTTCAAAATATTCTTGAATCATGTCTGTTAACACATTATCAGCAGAACACCAAAAAGTATAAAAATAGCAAGAGAAAAAGCAAAGTAATAATATTAACATTACTTAATATTATTGTTTTCCACTGCCTACTTTAATAAATTTTTAATTGACTCAAATCTCACGAACGGTTGGTTTTAGGCACATGGTACTAAAAATTGTTAAAAGACAATTAAACAAAGAATCCAAAAGTGGTAAAATATACAGGTGTTCCATTAAAAAAAATAAAGTTGATGTCATTTCCGGTGAAACAGAAAACAGCATTAATTTAGCATCTATCCTAAACGACAGATAACAAAAAATGTTCAACTTTGTTCTAAGAAGTATTGTCATAACTTTAAAAATAATGGAGTTATGGCTTGGGGCGTTTTTCATAATACAGCCTGTATATGCACGTATTTTCACAAAAATATGCACAAAATATTAAGAAATGTTCGAATATATGCCAAAAATGCATCGATATGTAAAACTTTTAACAATAAAAAATCAAAGTTGGAATAAATTTTTATCCACGAGTACACTAAAGTTTATCTTGAATCGCATACGATGAACGAAAGACAATAAATAAATTCGTTTTGCCTCAGAAAAGCCATTTTAATAACCTAGTAATTAAGCCTTTCTAAGAAATCTGTACTTTTCAGATCACATCACTTAAACAACTTTGCTAAAATTCATTTGCAGGCAACTACTTATCCACATAGAAGGATTTATTCGTTTTATACCAGGTGAATAAAAAGTATGGAACCAAACATTTTTTGCTTAAACTATTTATTTTTTAACTAATTGATGAATTAAATGTTTTCTTAAGAATAATTTTTTTCGAATTTTTGTTTTGTTTTTGAGTTCTACAAAAATTTTAATTTTCTTAAATGGCAACCAACTAAAAAATGTTTCTGTACTCTCTCAAAAACAACTGTGTTAGATAGAGACTATCTACTTTTTATTAATGTAAAAAAAAATACGTAAATTATAATTTTGACAAAAAAATCGCATAACATAATGCAAAACAAAATTTCGTTTTGAAAATACGAACAGATTCTTTATATTCCTTTATTTCATATTAATTATTATTTTCTAGAGGCAAATAATTAAAAAAAATCGTTTGGTTCTAAACTACATATTCACGCTGTATAAAACGAATTTGAAAAGGAAACACTCACAAGATACTAATTTTTTGAGTCCGGCTGACAAATTACTGGTTGTTTTCTCTTTAACATATTTTGTAATCGGATCATTTTTCTTAAACTGGCCAATTTTTAACTTAAACTGAAATTTTTAATCGGAAATTTGTGATTTGAAGAAAATATGCACAAATATACATTATTTCCTAAAATATGCATGATGTTGCCAAAATATGCATTTTTTAATTGGCTCATTTTAATCAAAAAATATTAGATAAGCATAGAAAACTTACAATTTTGTTGATATACCTCTTAATAACAAATATGCATTTTGCATATAATCCGAGCCTTACAGATAACAATCTGGAGAATTGAGAAATTTTTCGTTCTCACACGAGTTTTTTCACGGATGACCTGCATAACCTCGCTGAAGTTGACGCATTCTGCGTTTTAAACAAAAAAAATCAGTAAACTTTGTTGTGAAAATTCTTTTCAATTTTCAGCGTTCATTGTGCGCTTCCTGAAGCCATGTAACGTCAGCCTTTCGATAGAACTGAAACTTCCAGGTTTGAATAAGTCGCTTGTTAATTTACTTCCAGGTTTATGTTTCGAGTTTGTGTTCTTGTTATCTCTTTCAATACCCAACTTTTGATACTGGATTCGCCGCAAAAAATTCATTTGAAAACTTCCAACTTGGAACGTATCATTCATTCATATGAAACCGTGTCGAAATCTATTTTCCAATCAACATTTGGCCACCTGAGAGGATCAATCAATTACCTCCGACTCGGCGAAAGCTCGAAACATGAAGGAAAAACAAGCCGTTGTTCTAATAATATAAATTCCATTATTTCGGTGCCGGCTTTAGCGGTTTTAACTCGGATTATTGGCCCGAACGAAAACACGAAAAAAATTCAAAGACGTCCTTGCCGCCAATTTAATGATCTGTTATGTTTAATCAAACAATTACCGTGATTACCGGTAAATATTTTACATGCGTTATGACCGTGCCGTCGTTCTACAAAGCCCATCGACCAAATATTTAACCCGCAAACATGCCGTTGCGTTGATAACAATTAGTGGCGTAATTGGCGATCGTAAAATTTTCACAAGGGGAAAAGAAAAACGAAACTCAAGGAGAAAAGGTTTCTGCTTCGAGGAGAATTGACAAGAAACGATAAAATGCAGCTTTGTTACGAAGACATCGAACGCGCATTGATCACGAGCGTATTTTCTCAATTTACGACAAAGAAAAATGCGGGAAGTTGGAAGGAGCGAAAGTCGACCTTAGGATGAAAGAAAGAGTCGCAAAAAAAAACACAAAAGTCGACTTCAGTTGCACAATAATTGCTCAAAATCTGAGTCAGGCTTTAAAATGAGCAAAATTAATCAAGTTCTGACCCAAGCTCAGCTGCTCCTGCGTTAACGTTCAAAATTTATGTCTTAAATAAATAATTTACAGAAATTTATACACATCTGTTCAGATTATTAACTGAGCAAGTAATCAAATTTGCTGGTCATGACAAAAAATCTAGAAATTTGAGAATTTTGAATTTTAATCAGTTTATAAACACGAGGCAAAAAATAACCGAGCAAAAGATTATATTTTCTAATTTTCTGCCATTTTATGTTTAATACAACGGATGAAAGAAAAAAAATAGCACAAAAAAATGTGTTTGACATATTGTGTGAATTGAGCTAATAAATCTGAGCATGTTTTCAGTTTTTTGAATTGAATGATTTCTAAAATTGTGAACAATTTTAGATCAGTTCATAAACTAACAAATTTGTCTTATCTTATTCAAACTAGTTGAAAAGATTTATTGTTTCATATGTATTTAGGAATGGCAAATTTTCAAATAAACTGAGCAAATATTGATTTTACTACTAAACAAAAAATGTTTAAGTGAATAATTGATTTTTGAACTGAGAGCATAAACGGACATATTAATTGAACTGAGCTATGAGTTCAATATTTTTATTCTGAGTCTATTTTCTATTTTTAAACCAAAATCAAATCAATAATTTTGAATCAGTTTTTAATCTACTAGGTGAGAATAAATAAAATTTAAAATCAATTTAAAAAAGGGCAAAATTGACAATTATAAAGTCTAGAAACCTGAAAATCTTTTTTAATCAGAATATAAACACGAGGCAAAAAATAACTGAGCAAATAATTCTATTTTTTAATATAGGTATTATATTTTAAGCCACTTTATATTTAATACAATTGCGGAAGTAAAAAATAAATGATCAAATAGTAAGAAAAAATAATGTGTGAACTGAGCAAGTAATTCAGAGCATGTTTTCAAGTTTTTTTTTAACAGAAACACAAGAATTGAATAAATAAACTGAGCAAATACTGATTTTACTACGACATAAATGTTTTCAACTGATTTTTGAACAGAGCAGATAAATGGCCTATTATTTGAACTGAGCTCTGAGTCTATTTTCTAGTTTATTTAAAACAAAATCAAATAAGCATATCATTTTATCTAGGTAAGAATAAATAGGATTTAAAATTAATTCGAAAAGAGCAAATACCGAGCATTTTTCCACCAAAAAGTTGTTTATGAGGTAGCTGATTTAGATTCAATTCAATTCAAAGTATAAATCGGATTTGGATTCTGAATTGTACTAATGGAAGAAATACCGTTTTTAGTAATTAATAAACACGTTCGTTTATTTCAAAAATATTTAATATTTTGCTACATTGAAACGAAAATCAAATAAATAAAGTTTTGCTGAAACCTTTGACTGCAAAATTAATTACGTCTATTTCAGTTTGTACAAAAAAAAGATCTAAAAATAACTCTTTTAATGAAATTTTAAATAATAAAATTGAATTTCATCATTAATTCCGGCCTTTGTTAAACACTGTGATTAACAAACATATTAAAAATCATTAAATATTGAAAACACAGAGAGACACACAATCTACAAAATTCCAACCCTCTACACACAGAAAAAAAATGAAAAAATGCCCCTTACCATGTCGTAGACGTACTTTTCTAAGTTGGCAGCTTGCGGATTGTCGAAGTAGTTGATTTCAGTGTATCTATTGACGATGAGCGTACTCGGGGCGGCCAGGTGATGGTTATTGTACATGTGCGGGGGGGCACATTGGCCACAGGGACAGGGTACAGGACACGGGGCGTAAGCACTAGGTGGAGCGGCGATCTCTTGACAGGGTACCAAAGGACACAAGGGCACTACGTAAGGGATTTGGCCGGGGGCGTTGAGGAAATACGTCGTGGTAATGGTGGTGGTGGTTAATGTTCGGATTCTATTTTCAAAATTCACTAATTTATATCACGACCCTAACGATTGTCACCAAAAAATTTCGACCGATTGTCTTCAATAATTGATATTTGGTATCCGTTGCGATATTGCACGATTGTCAAAAAACAATTAAGTCTAAATTCGCTAACTGTATATATATATAAATTTTCTCAACTATAAATACTTTGATTACAATCAATAACTGAGCGATATATAAACTTTGCGTTAGATAAAATATACTATTTTTTTAAATTTTATTTAAGTAATTTAATCTAGAGATATGTATGTTACAATGAGTACAACTGGATGATTTATACTGAAAGGATAATTCGATTGCTTTTCCTATTTTTGTGAAGATAATACTGTGTTTGACACAACCTTCGAATAAATAAATAACAACAATAACAACAACTCGAAACCGATTGTCTAGGATATGTTCGAATTAATTGAAACGCGTAGGAAGGTGAATGTGATGTGAGTGCGAGAATTTTTTTTCAAAATTTTTACTTTATGTACACAGAAAAAATGATTGTCTAAGACACAAACACCACGAACATTGAATAGTGTGATTGATTAAAATTCGAATAACATGCAATTTGTGAAGAATATTGACTTGGTTGCGAGTAAGGGAGCTTTAAGCTTCCTAAAAAATATTGCACTGGGCCCTTCGAAAAATCCTTACTTAACTATGTATTATATAAATACGATAAAGCTCGTCTCGGAGAGTCGTATAAGAGGACGGTGTGGTTGGCAACTCGCGTCAACTGATAGGACAACGAGTAGCTTCTCAGGTCAAGAAACTCAAGGAGGAACGCCGTTCGTCCGCGGCAAAACTCTCCAATAATTAGATAATATCTACGCGTCTATCACACAAAACTTACTTTACTTACATTTAAGTGATCAATGATTGTCGTTAATTCTTGGACAAGACGCGTCGTCTTTGCCTTCAAAAACGCCAAAAACAAAACCAGAATGACAACACTATAAAAATTTATAAAATTACAACCGTTCGTAAAAATATTTTTTTATTATTATTTTCTTACGATTTTTTTTTTGTACTAAAAGGAACGTCAACTCGGATTTGATTTTGTTTTGATTGAGTGCGTTTGGAAACAATAACGTGGCGGTCTGCGAGTGATTGATAAAAATTGCTTGGATTTTACCTTTGATGGTCGGCGAGAGTTCCGTCGACTGAGAAAGATCGAACACTAAATAGCAGAGCACTCGGACGAGTACGAAAAATTGCAAAAAGATTTTTCAATAAATATGATTTTTTCTTTCTTTTCGAGATATAATTGTTAATAGATTTGGCGTTAGCAGCAAGAAAGACGGGCGCGTTCTCGTCGGTTTGTGTGTTATTACTTTTTGACGCGGATTTCTTTCACGCGGGGATCAGTTCAAAAACTCCCCGGAAGGACGTGTGTGTATATGTGTGTGTGAGGATGTGATCAGTCTAGTGAAGGACCGGTGACAGAGTGAGTAGTTCGTAGGAAGTGTTAGAGGTGTGGACCGCCGCACTCGCTGGCTTTCTCGCCCGGACTGTGCCGCACCACGGCGAGAGGTAAGCACCAAGCAAGCCATCGGCGGACCTGCGCCATACGAGGACCCCATCCGTGCATCCCGTCCGCACACGCCGCATCGATACAACCTGATGCATGCCGCCGCCGCCGCCACCGCCACCACCGCTTCTCGCACCTGAAGCTCGACTACCGACTCCGGGACCAGAAGACACAAACATCAAACTTCACCGACTCAGATTCTGAGCATTTTCAACTCAACAAGAGTCTAAGTGGCTCAATTCCACAAAATGTATTGTGCGATAAGTCCAAGAAATGAAACTGTCCTCATAAGACACAAACAAAAAATTTACCAACTCACTCATTCAGTAGCTCAGTTTCAGAACTGAAAATGACCTCACTTTTAATCTTCTATACCGAAGCCAGATTATGAGCATTTTCAACTCATCAAGAGTCTCAGTGGCTCAATTTCAAGTATCATTCCTGAAGGTTTATTGTGCGATAAGTCTAAGAAATGAAACTGACCTCATAGGATACAAACAAAAAAATTACCAACTCACATTCTGGCCGTTTTAAACTCAATGGCTCTGTTTCAGAACTCACTTTTTAATGTTCTAAACCGAAGACAAACAGTAAACTCCACCGACTCAGATTATGAGCATTTTCAACTCATCAAGAGTCTCAGTGGTTCAATTCTACAAGTTTTATTGTGCGATAAGTCCAAGAAATGAAATTGACCTCATAAGAGACAAACAAAAAATTTACCAACTCACATTCTGATCATTTTAAACTCGGTGGCTCAGTTTCAGAACTGAAAACGACCTCATTTTTAAAGTTCTAACCCGAAGACACAAACACTAAACTCCACCGACTCAGATTATGAGCATTCTCAACTCATCAAGAGTCTAGTGGCTCAGTTTCAAGTATCATTCCTGAAGTTTTATTGTGCGATAAGTCCAAGAAATGAAGCTGACCTCATAAGACACAAACAAAAAATCTACCAACTAACATTCTGATCATTTTAAACTCAGTGGCTCAGTCTCTGAAACTGAAAATGACCTCACTTTTTAATGTACTAAACCGAAAACACAAACAGTAAACTCAGATTATGAGCATTTTCAACTCATCAAGAGACTCAGTGGTTCAATTTCAAATATCCTTCCTGAAGGTTTATTGTGTAGTAAATGAAACTGACCTCATAAGACACAAACAAAAAACTTATCAACTCACATTCTGATCATTTCAAACTCAGTGGCTCAGTTTCAAGTGTCATTTAATTACTGAAAATGACCTCACTTTTTAACGTTCTATGAATTTCAAGTAAATCCTTATTTCTTACAACTAAACCTCACTATTTCATAAGAGACTCAGGTCTGCTCAGTGGCTCAATTTAAATCAAACACGCAGCAACCAAAAAAGCGAAATCACCCCCCACTAAATTATGTTCTGAGTTTTATAAACAAATCAAGTGGCTCGCTCAATTTCAAGTCTCATTCTTGTTTAACGTAAGTCTAATAAGTGAAACTGACCTCACTATTTAACGCTCTAAGTAGTAAAATCCCTATTTCTTAAAACTAAGCCTCACCACTTAATAAAAGATTCAGGTCTGCTCAGTAGTTCAATTAAACACACAGTAGACAAAGAAGCAAAATCACTAATCATGTTCTGAGTTGGCTAAACGGCTCAATTTAACGCCTCATTCCTGAGAATTTAAGGCTGAGCATTTCAAGTCGATGGTGGTTCAATTTTGAACTACTGAGAATAAAATCCTCATTTCTGAGGACTCCACGTAGGTTAAAGTACCAAAACAAACCCCACTATGTATCAAACGACTCAGGTTTACTCAGTAGTAATTTTAAACTAAG